TTTTTTTTCAGTTTTGGCACTTTTGGCACTCCATACTTTTCAGAGTAATGTCTATCTATTGAGAGCAACAGTGTGCACTTACGGTTCATGCAGCTGATTTTCGGGATATCCCATCGTCCATTCCCACGACAACGGATAGTTGGGACATGTCTCTGAATAAAGCCTATACGGCACTGGTACCTCACCAGCGAGTTGATCTCATACCGTTCACGTGTCTTCCCAAAGGAACGTGCATTCTCTACCACAGGAGGCTGACTACAGGCCACTGTAAACCAGACGAGACAAAGGCATTTGATAAGGAATTTTACAGGAACTATGGGTTTTCATTTTTACCTTAAGAAAATTTTAAAAAGTGGATTTTTTTGTTTGTTTGTTTTTTACCTGTGCCCTTCTTGCAGGTGAAAGTGAGGTGGTAGTTGCAAGGAACATCATTCCACTGACCATCCTCATGCCATATCATCACCACACAGTCCTCGCCAGCAGAGAAGAAGCTGTCAGGCTGGTTGGGCCTCCAGTTTTCATATTGCTAAAATAAGAGCAGGCAACAGAGTAAAACATTACTGTTATTAAACTACATTCTAAGCCTAACAGCTTTGCTTTTTTATTAGTAAAATAGACACTATTTACAGACATTATCTATAGATACTCCTGTTGAAGGGTCACTGCAGCAGTAGCTCTTCATATTTGATTTGGCAGATTTTTATACCAAATTTCCTTCCTGACACAAGCCAAAAGGGAATAGCGTCTCCTCCCAAGATCGAACTGAGCATTTTTTGCTTGTTAGGGCAATGTGTATACCAATAGGCACTTGTACGGTAAAGGTTACCAAATCACTACAAATATTGTGCCTGCTGCATATCTCGCTAGAAAAAAGTGAAGTCAAAATCCTTTTGTTTTTCCTTTTCCTTTTCATAATTGCAATTCTAATTACTGTCCACAAGAGGGAGAAAGTGTATCTTTATGTAGGCCAATTTTGAGCAAACCAGACTCAAAGGGCAAAAACGAAAGGTTTATAAAATGGGCTCATAAACTTTGTCCAGAGAGGAGCCATCTGCATTATCCTGCTGTAAATGTCACCGTAACCTACTATTTACACAAAAAATAAGAGTAGCTTGGATTTTATAGTCAGTGCAGTCTACACCCCTGATTCAGTATCGCATACTTGGCATGACTGGTATCCCGTGTAACAACTAATGTGTCTTTCACACAACAGAGTTTTTGGGATAACGGACAACCATTAGTATGTGATGTCTTTTCATCATTAGCTGACATGTCAAGCGTTACGATTGTACATCTCCAGGAACAAAATTCCACAACAGCACATGTACGTTCATACATTAATACAGCATACACACAGCTGCAGTGCTGCGAGGCATTCGAGCTGGCATCGGTGCTACCTGCAGTCTTTCAGCACATTCTAGGTTCAAAAGCTTTCTTCAAAGCTGTGACAGACCCCCACCCCCCTCACCCCACCAATCATGCCTTGAGGCTCCGCTGCTCTCTCATTATGGTTAACAAACATGCTCTGACTTCCTGCTCAGCTTGCTTCAGGTTAACAAATGGCTGACCCATCAACTCCTCAGCAGGTCTGCATCCTCCTCAGAACATTCAAACAAACTTTGATCACCCACACCTAAACACACATCCGAAGATTTCCCAGCCTATGTGTTTCAATTCTCTATAGTAATTATTTAATCACTGGTCTTTTCTTTTGCCGTTGTAAATAGTTCACAGTTATTTAAAATCAGTCTTATTTATTACATTTAAGTCCACTAGAGGTGACCACCCACACAGACCCCCTGGGCACCCTCAATCCAGTGTATTTTTATTTTTTTTTACTCATTCTACAGCTGAGCACAGGTGCTGTCCATCTGTGTGTCTGCCTGCTTTGGTGGCCTTTTTCCCTGGGTGGTTGCCTGTTGGTTGGGCCTGCTCATGAGTGTGGGGGATAAAGAAGAAACATACCTGTCTACGCCTGACAAAGTCCCCTCTCCGCTGTGTCACTCATACCTTCATCACCCCTCATTCTTTCAGCAGTGAAACAGCCTCCAGGCCTGTGCTTATCTTTTAACCCCCCAGGCTGGCTCAATGCTTCCTGCCTTTCTCTGGGTCTGGAAGGGCATCTTTGAAGCAAGAACGTCAGTGTGTGCAAATCTTAAGCACACTATATATTGTATTTAGTTTCTTTTCTGTTTAGTGGACAGCAGCTAGAAGGACTATAGCAAATATTAACTCTAACTTTTAATTAATTTATTTATTTTTGCTTTGTGGAAGCTATTTGTTTTTCTACACAGAGCTCATACTCATTAAAAGGAGTTAAAATGAAATACACCATGTTCTCCATCAGATTTATTACCACAGCGGTCAGCGGGGTGTAGTGACATGAGGCGGAGGAGAATGCGTCATGAGAACAGCAATGCGACTCCCAGAAAGGAAAGACCCTCCCTAAATGACTAAATCTGTCAACAGCATTGCGCATATTTACACTGCTCCGGTGCCATGTTTGTTGAGTCGATAATATGTAAGAAAGCATCCTGTCTTACCATAGGGCAACCATCGGTCCAGCGGAAGTCGTTGTCATACATCTTATCATTCAGGCCGATCCACTGGTAGTCCTGTCCAAGACCTGCCAAGTAAAACACAACCAGTTACATTCCTCAGTTGGCCTATTTCCATTTTAGGACTGGTAAGTCAGAGAAAGCAGGAGAAAGCCCAAGATAACGTGGATGTTTTCATTGCTCGAACCCTTATCTTGCATAGTCTCTACCCAAACACGTATTTGTTCTTGAGTTGGCTTTATGAGAGAAAATTTCCCATTAATTAGGTTTTTTTT